AGAGAGAGAGAGAGAGAGAGAGAGAGAGATGAAGCTTAATGAAAATGCTCTAGTTTCAATCCCCAGTACAGCAAAAATAGTGTGTGTGTGGAAGGCACCGGGGATCAGAAAACACTATGGATTCCCCATTCTAGAGGCCTTGTGGAATTGGGATGGGACAGAAAATAAGCGAGGTGATGGCAGTTTTGATCAAGGTCGAAATGCAGCTGAGTTAAGGCTGAGGGCACCAATCATCAGCCTGGTCATCAAGGGGGAGGAGAACAAGGTCACTGAGTGAGCCTCCAGGAAGCCAGAGCACAGGCTGTTGGCAGGATTATCCAGTAGGTAAGAGTGATGGCGGAAGTGGGGCCTTTTAAGATTCCTGTCACCATCAAAGAATCCTGAGACAGCAGAGTGGCAGCACAGGCCTAAACTCCACATTGAGAGAGTCAGGTTGGGAGGAACTGAAGTTTGACCCCAGCCTGGGGTACTTAGCAAGACCTTGTCTTATAAAACAGAACTTTAAAATGGCTGAGATTATAGCTTAGTGTGAAGGCTCTGGGTTCAATCCCTAGTGCTCAGTCAATTAGTCCATCAATATAAACACCTTGAGATAGGGGCAAGTTTTTCAGGGACTATTCTCCAGCTGGGGTTAGGGGTAGGGGTCCCAGAGGTTGTGACCAAGTAGCTGAGTTGGGGCCCTACACTGTCAGGGAGGCTAGAGGAACTGTGGCTAGTGACTCTTGGAGTGATGAAGAGGAAGATTCTCAGGGTTCATTTCCTTCTCCCACCAGACTTTTGGTGACCGCGTTCTCTATCCAGCCTCTTGGGTCGTCCCACTTTTTGTGGCGTTTTCCACCATTGGAGCTGCTAACGGGACATGTTTTACTGGAGGCAGGTAGGGGACCCTACAATTACTCTGTCTCCAGGTGGGCAGGAGGTAGCGGAGCTGATGTCACACTCAGGAGACCCCACATTCTCTGGGGTGGTCCTGGTCTTGAGCCTGGCAGACCAAGTCAGAGCCCCAAAGTGCAGAGAAGGGATGTGGTTTGCACCCACAAGGTGCAAGTGTGGACACTTCAGGCCACTTCAGGACAGGCTGGCTGCTAACTAGCACTTGGGAGACCAAGGAATGAGGAGGTGCACCTGGCTACCCAGTGAGTTCAGGGGAGTTCTGAACTAAGAGCAAGACCCTGACTCAAAAAGAAATCAGTAAAAAAAAGAAAAAAAGAAAAAATCACATGAAGGATAAATTAGCAAATGTAAAGAAGTGGCGCATCCCCCCAAAACTACTTCCAGTTCAGGTATCTGAAAGACTATAGGTAAATTATTATGGGGAAGAAAGATAAATGGAATTTCTTTTTATTTATTTATTTATTTATTTACTTGTGTGTGTGTGTGTATTTTTATTTATTTATGTGTGTGTGGCCAGCTCAGCCCACCAGGGGGCGGGGCTGGCTGGCATGTGGTGCTGGGGGATTGAACCGTGGTCCCTGTGCTTTGCTAAGCTTGTTCTAAGTAGGTGCTTTAGACCACTGAGCCATCTCACCAGCCCCAGAATTTCTTTTTTTTTTTTTTTAAAAAAAAAAAAGTTGCCACAATTAGGAATTCAATTAGATACAAGTGAAAAAGTAAGTCGGACACTAGAGTTGCTCATGAGCATGAAATGACAGACATGTAGATGGACCCAGACAGGAGAGAATTTTGCCAAAATTAAAAGCACTGTGAGCCTCAGACCCCGGATCTACACAAGACAAAGTATACTCAGCTGTAAATATTTTAGTGGTAGGGAAAAAGAAATTCTAGAGAGCTATAGAATTTGAGAGATTACAGCATTCGGACAAGGAAAACAACGGGAAACATTGTGAGAAATAATGTCTTTCAAATGACAAGGGACACTTTGATACTGGAATTCTGTGTCACTGAAATAGCACTCGAGACTCCTGACAAAGCACACATGGTTTTAGAGAAGCCATGGAACATTCCCTCTCCATTTCTCATTGGAAACTGTTAAGAGTCCACTCTAGAGAAAAATACTGAACTCAGAAGGAATTGATTTTCAGAAGGAAGGGAAAGGAAAATACAGTAAAATAGGTTGGTACTCAGGTATTGTGTTGGGTATTGTCTTGGCAAAGCCAAGCTCACAGGGACCCCACAGACGAGGCCCGGCTCTCTGTCCATCAAGGAGAGCAGCAACATGGAGGGGAGGAAAGGGCTTTAGTCAGCCAAGCCGGGAAGCACAGTCACTGAGGGGCTGACAGGAACTGCGGTTTTACAGTGAAGGGAAACATAGACCCTGGCCTGGGGTTGCATAGCTGCAGCTTAGGCCATCCCTGCCATGTCTCAGTTCCTATGCTGATACTCAGGACAGCTTCCATGAGGTCTGGGAGCCAGCGCCGCTTGAGGCAGCAGTTCAGTGGCCATCAGGAGATGACAGATTGTGTTGGGGAGGCAGCCATGGCTTCTGTCATAGGGTAACAGTGCCTATGCAGGAAGCGACCTCATTGTGGGGTGGTGTGCGAGGCTGTGCTTCGCCTGGAGTCCAAGGTGGCTGCCATTCAGGACAATGACTTAGAACTTCTAGGTATCACCGCAGGAGGTCTGGAACTCTGGACATTTTAAAAGCTGCCAATGAGATGTCCCTGCAAAATCACTTTAGTCACTTTGACTTTGGTGTCCTCAGTCTTGAAGAAGATGAGACAGATTAGGTAAATGTAGGGCAACTAGACTGTGTAACACAGACACCACTTGGGTGGTCAGCATCCCCATGTGCAGAGCTGAGCCAGGACCTGACCCCAAGTTTGAAGGCACTAAAATGAAGGCAGAGTTGTCAAGCTTCATGCTGCTCTTAATTACCCATGGGTACCTGCAGACCCGCTTCTAGATCTCTGTAACAGTGACTCCTCTTTACTAGGCCTCCCGGGCCCATGTCCATTTGTGGTTTTGTTGATCCTACAACGCTAGGATGCACCTAAGCCCCTCATCCTTCCTACACTCACTGCCCTCCAGAGACAGCACCATCCAAGATGGCCAGTCCCCACTCAGTTCCCTTCCCTGAGACCCCTGCTGGACCTCAGGACACTCTTGCTCAGGACCTCTGTGTGATTCTTCTTTCAGACTCATTTACGTTGCAGGCCGTGAAGGGCACATGCCTCAAGTGCTCTCTTACATCAGTGTCAGGCGCCTCACGCCTGCCCCTGCCATCATCTTCTATGTAAGTAGGAACTGCACCACGATGCCTGGGCTACAGGCAGATGGCCTTCAGGTCCAGAGATGAAAAAGACCTGTCTTGCTATCACTTGTCCAGTGGTTATACACTGTTCCTGGGTGTTGTGACCAGTGGTCCTGTCCAGGCCATTAGTATCCTATTCGAAGAAGTGGACATAAAAATGAACATAAATGTTTAGTGTTCATTAAAGGTACTAGAGGTGAGCTCAAGATAGGAAAAGAAAGAAAGTGTGCTTTGCAGAGCAAGTGTGGGCCAGTTAAAGGCTCTCAGTGGCCAAGAGTTAATGGCTGCCATCTTTTTTTTTTTTTCAGAACCGGGGATTAAACTCAGGCCCTTGTGCTTGCAGGCAAGCACTTATTCTACTAAGCCATCTCCCCAGCCCCAATGGCTGCCATCTCTTATGTCCATTTCTCATATTACAGCCATTCCAAGTAGTTGTCTGAGAATACTTCTGGGAAAGGTCTCTATGACTGACAGGTCATTCCCAATTGTTCATTTGCCTAACTATGACCCATTCTACCTGAGAAGGAGCCAGGTTCCCTTATTCTGTGATGTGAAATATAAAATAAATTCCCAAGACAATTGAATTTATACTTGTTCTGTTCCTTTTCTGAATTTACCCACAAACGATATTGGTTTAATCCTCCAAATTGGTATCACTCTACTTCCTTCATGTATATTCATTTCTTTGTTCTGAGCCACCTGGAATAAGCTACGCATGGGGAGGGAGAACAAGGCACTGTACAAGGTGATGCTAACAGCAGTCTTTCATTATGGCCTAATAACATATATGTCCTGAGATCATCAACGGCTCTAATGCGAGGTTCTCAGGAATAAATCATCTGGGTCATGTGCAGCTGTTCTGGGCACTCAACTACCCTTCACATTCCTAAGGCCCATCTAATACCTCCTAGCTCCAGAGCAGAACAGGCCTCTCTTCCACCTGCACACTCTGAAGATGGGAGCCTCGCCCAGAGATCAGGGGCACAAGTCAAGGCTCAGGTGGCTAATGCAGTCGAGATCAGACCTGGGTTCCATAGTGTAGGGCTCCTGGCCATAATGAAGACTCTCTGGAATTTAAATCTATAATTGTGGAATTGGTACACTGTATGTACAGATTTTGCCTAATATTTTCCTTGCTTAAAATCACAACTGCAAAGATGCAAATACTACTGAAGTTCTTCCCACCAAGTATCAGAGAGAAGAGCTAGCACAGCAAAGTCATGTTCAACCATTACTGCAATGGATGCAGGGGACATATCTTTTATGCTGATCTCTTTAGGAAAAACTGCTTCTTCAGACTTTTATGAGGTGATAAGAAGAATGATTTTATGTGCTAATGACTTGAGAATTTATTGTTCTTTCTTTTAGGGTGTAATATCAACAATTTATATCATCCCTGGTGACATAAACACTTTGGTCAATTATTTCAGTTTTGCAACGTGGATATTTTATGCAATGACCATTATAGGACTTGTTGTGATGAGGTTTACACAAAAACATCATAAAAGGCCTATCAAGGTAAGCTTCATGCCAAGTGTCACAAGCAGCTCTGGTGGACAGACTGCAGAAGAGCTTGGTCTTTCTTTTCTGATTCTACCGTTGTTGAGTGTCACCTTTTATATAGACATTTATCCTGCACTTTACAGTGTATGATCCCAGTAACCACCTAGTCATTCAAATCAATAAGCTGTCATTTTCCCAAGCTGCCAAGAATAGCTTTGATACTTTTCCTGAACTGAGGGAGTCTTCTGAACTCTGTCCCTGGTCCATTCCTGTCTAAGTTCGCAATCTACTTTGAACTTCTTCCCACTCCTGGAATGGCTGGTGGGATCTCTCTACCCTGAAGACAAAGAAGCATTTGCATTGTTTTGCTCACATTAAAGATTAAAATACCCCCCAAAATTGTGCTATTTAATTCTTAGGATAACAGAGCACAGGTATAATAAGAGTTAGAAAAATGACCACAGGGGGCCTGGCCTTAGCTCAGCTGTTTAAGTGGCTGCTTCCACAAAGCTGTCAGCCTCAGGTTGCTGTAGTTCGATCCCCACAACACTCCAGCCAGCTAAGCCACCCCTTAGGGCATTTAGA